CAGCTGCCCGAAGCACTTCTCTGCGGCTCGGTTAGGCAGCCGGAGGCCTCGTGACCACGCGGTCCCGCGACTCGCGGTTTTCTGGGGCGTTCGCCCAGCTGCCCACGCTGCCTTCAGGCCCGGCGAGGGCGAGGGCGAGGGCGGCGGCGGCGCTCGGCAAAGCGACCGCGGGGAGCGGTTTCCGACGGCCGAAGCCCCAGGCCCGCGCCCTGCCCCTCGGCTCCTTTCCTGTGAGGAAAGGCGCTCGGGCCCCGACACGTTCGTGGGCTAACTAGGAGCACCAGCGGAACTGAGATTGGGTGCCCGAGGAGCCCCTAAAGAAAGAGAAAACCCCCATTGAAACGGCGACAGAGAACAGCTGGCGCAAATCAGCAGTTCCAGTTTCGCGTCGCTTAAAGGCTGCAGAAGCTTCTCTGTAGTTGGATTCCTGTGACGGACAAGCCATGATTCCTGGTTTTTCCCCTCCCGAATAGGAGAGGAAAGCCAGGAGGCTGAGGAAAACTGTCCCCGTTTCTTTGTGCTCCAGATTAGCCCTTCTTGAAAAAGAAAGTTCCGTGTCTTTCTATATTGCGCTTAGTTAAAATTCTGGACTCAAGCTATTGACTGACTGACTGACTGACTGTGCTCCCTTCACGCTTGATTTCACACCTGTCTTCCTTACTGAAGAGACGACCGATTTTAGAATTTTGAGCGTTGTTAGTGACGTGCAGTAAGAAATCAGGAAACCTAACCCCGAGAAGAGAGTAGTCTTAATCTTCCTGGCCGTGCATGCTTGAAGATAATTGAGATTACTGTATATGGAGAAAAGCTCTTATCAAAAGCTCTTTTTAAAGTTTCCGATCTTTATGTAGATAAATATCTAAATGGTATTTTAGTTCATTGGCCTTAATGTTGAAAAAATAGTGTCTGGATTCAGATTCCATGCTAAGCCATTACATCAGTTGTTTGGTTTGGACTTAGTGTACTTATGTGCATTGCCACTGTAATTCATGCAGCAGTGTAGCTGAACAAATCATTGTTCTTGTACTGTATGACCCTAATTACTGTTTTAGGTTCTCCTGATGTGTAGTTTTATGTTTTTCTTTTAACAGAGCTTGCATCACAGAAAAAATTTGATGAAATTAAGAAGGCTAATCAAGCTGCAGTTAAGAGACTTATTGAAAATCAGTTTAGCTCCTCATCTGAAGATGATGATGATGATGGTGATGATGATGATGAAGAAATTGAAGGAAAGCATGGACAAATATTGGCCAAAACATTTACAAAATATACTAATCAGACTGGTAATTTTTCTATATTGGCTTCTCAGCTTTCACTTTAAGGAACAACTTACCGTTGCACTAGAAATGTTGCTTGGATATTGATTTCCTTTTGTGATAGAATCTTACCTTTCTAGATTTATTCTGGAAAGCTACTGCTTGTGTTCATACAGCATAGAATGCTAAACATATTGAGTCAACCTTTGCTGTCTGTTTTGGAAAAAGTATGTGAAATCTTGGGATAATCTGCTCCCTTAAGATGCTAAGTTGAGGCTGCTGCTCCTGTCAATGAGATTGAAATTTGCTCTTCAGCGCAAAGGCTTAGGGAAGTGTATCGTGATCACTCAAAAGAGATGTCTGTAGACTTCAGGAAAAGGGTTATCAATACACGAGACACAAAAGGCTACAAAATCTTTGCAAAAAAAAACGGCCTTTGTCATTTTACAGTCAGGCAGAAAATATGCAGTGGTATCATTACTTTTCCTAGGAGTGATTGTCAAAGAAAATTTCCCCCCAAAGCAAGGCTCACAGTTTACAGAGAGGCTTCAAACAACCCCAAGATAAAGGCAAAGGATCTGCAGGCCACTCTTGCAATGTTAGATGTCAGTGTTCATGATTCTGACATTATGAAAACATTGAATAAAAGTTGTATTCATGAAATGATGTGAGGGAAGCAACCACTGCTGTCCAGAATAATACATTGCCATCCCTCTCAAGTTTGCCAGATATCACCTGGATAATCCAGATGGCTATTAGAACAAAACACTCCATTTCAGCAAAAGACCCTCATCCCGACCATGTAGCATGGTGGTTGGAATATCATGGTTTGGGGCTGCTTTCCAGCCTTTGGACATGGATAGCTCTTTTTCATTTAGGGAACAGTGATTTCCAGATTATACCAGCAAATTCTATGAGGGAATGTCCATGAAGTGAAGCTTAAATGAATCTGCACCATGAGAATGATCCTAAACACACAAGTAACTCTATAATAGAATGGCTGGAGCAGAAGAAATTTCACATTTTGGAATGGCTGAGACAAAGAGCTGATCTTGACCCAACTGAAATGTGGCATGACTTGAAACAAATAGGCCATGCAAAACAACCTTGAAATATTAATGAATTGAACAGTTCTGTAAAGAGGACTGGACAAAAATACAAGTGGATGGGCATAATGGATCAGGCAGACATTTGGCTTAAATCACTGCTGTTAAAGGATTTGCTAGTGCTGCTAAATCTAAAGCTTCGCATCCTTTTACTAACGAAGACAGTGAATGTTAGCTCAATAAAGACATAATGCAGTGCATTGTTTTGTGTGTTGCTCATTTACTCAGAATTTTTTTAGGACTTAGATGAAGCTAAGATCATATTCTACTTCATAGGACTGATGAGTTGAAGATAGAGAACAATGTTCTCATACCTCCGTGTTAGAGAAAATAAAGGCGTTAACTGAGACATCTCCTTACAAATCTTTGTAACTGAACAAAAGAATTTGGCAGCAGCATGAGCCCCGCTTCTCTTAGCATTGGCTAGTAATCAATGTAGTAATTCTACAGAATTGATTAAAATGTAGGAGAAATAAATATTTAACACTCAGTGTGATAGAAGCTTGAAAAGAACACAGGTGATTTTGTCATTCTTCAGCTCCCACCCCTTAGAGGCAGAGGCAACTACCATACGGTATACCCTGGAAATGACTAACACGGAACTCTAAAAGAAGGTCTTGATTACCCCTCTGCCTTGATCCTCCAACGTAATAAAAGTTTTGTCATAAATAATCTTTTTCTATTCACAGATGGAGATGCAAGTGAGTTGGAGCGCACAAAGCAGTATATGAACGATGCCTTTCAGTCTGGGGCGCTGACGTGTCTGATTTGCATTGCTTCAATTAAGAGAAATCAAGCAGTAAGTCTGTGCATATTGCTGCATTATCTTTTCCCCAATCCGTATTTACTACTCTCTTGAAATATCCTTGGCTTCCTGAAACAGACAGCATATCAAGATGCTTATTTGTGATTCTGCCTTTGGAATCTCCAGTCAGTGTATTTAGAAAATGACACAAAAGTCTCTCTTTTCCCATTTCTGTTGTGGTTGGATGTATCAACCTGAGCGAATAGATTTCTTTATAACAACCATTTGTCATTTTGTGTCCCCACATTCAACCTGTCCATGTCTGTTATAATTATTTGGGGGAATTTTCAGTATTTCAGAATATTGCTATGTTTGAATTTACCTATTCCAAAAGTAAAATGATCCTTTTTAAAACCTCTGACCTGTCTCTGCAAGATGCATAAATCTATCTCAGCGCTTGGTGCTATTGTCAAGCTTTGACTGCTGCCTTTGTATTTTATGAAGCTTAGTCTAGCCTGACATAGGCTGACCTTGAAAAAGTTAAGGCTACAAATTAGATGGATTTAGATGGAAGATCACCAGTCTGGACATTAGACAGGAGAGTTGAAAAAACATCCTGTAAGAAGCCAATGGCAAATGAATTTTGTATTGCCAAGAAACAACTTGAATGTGTCCATGAAGTCAATGTGAGTTGAGTCAACCTAAGGGAGACTTTACGGTTTATCATATTGGTATATGGCTCGGTTTTGTCCACGACAGTCTTATAGTTATGATTCCTGTTGGAGGCTGGCCAAATTCTTTACCAATAGGATCATAAAAATTTTAAGGAAAGCTTTTATAAATACTACAGTATGTCATTTGTATCTGAAATTTGTTATTTTAAGTACTTACGGAATATGGGTGCATTTTGCTTTGTATTAAAATACCTTGTTAAACACAAGTAGAGATAGAAACTTTTGGGAAAAAATAAAGCTATACTTGTTATTAATTTATGGCTAAGACATCTCTAGCCACGAAATGCTATGTTGTCAAAAGGTGAAGATAAACAAAGTTAATTTAGTGGTTGCCCTAGGCAGTGAAACAACCAGGAATTTCACATCAGACATAGGCACAATCTTTTCTTATTTTCTTTTGTTTTTAAGAATTAAATTGTATTTGCCAGATCAACACATTAGTAAGAAGAGCTTCTGACATATCCTTGTCTTTCTTCAAGGTCTGGAGTTGTTCTGGATGTTTCTGCATATTTCACATGCCATGCATACAGAAGTGGGCGAAGGATAGCCTTTTCTTAGTATCTTCTCCTTTGACAGATGATGAGTTTGGAAAAAAGGATTATCCGTGGCCATGGTAGGCTTTGAAGATTTTGTTCTGAAAGCTGGTTTACGTACTGGAAAAAAAATTGAGCAATAGCTTTGAAAAGAAGAGCAGGTGTAGCCAGAAGCTTGTTTTGTATATGCTGTAATTTTACCTTCAGTGTAACCCCCCGCGACTGATAAAATTTACTTCACTTTGAAGTATGCTTAGCTAAACTAATGCAACTTGAATATTGTGTAAGTTAAGAATATCACCCCTGCAATATTTTCACCAGGACTCCAATTCAGCCAAAGTTGTGCACATTCTTAGCTTTCCATTCAAAATTGTTGGAACTTGAAAATGCTTATATTTGGCACGACCGTAATCTGTGAGTTTCTTTGTTAGCTAGTGTTGACCTGAATTTAGTTTACTGCTTATATCCATCATATACTGCTTCACATCCATCATGGAAAGCCTTTGGTAAGTGAACTTCAGACTGTATGGCTTCAAACTTGCTGGATGTGACAAATACAACAATGCAAAACAGTATCTAGGAACAGAAAGGCTGATATTCTCTTCGTTGCCACCCTTGTTGCTATGCTGCCCTCTTGCATCTTCTTCTGCATATGAACTTGAACTTTTTTACCTACAGCCTTTGTGCACCGAAGTTTATTTTGTAAACTTCTATTAAGTCTGTATGTGCAAAAGGGTGCTTTGTAATCCCAATTAGTTCTCCACCCATTTCAGTTCTGTTCATCATAGATATAACTTTTCAGAGGCCTTTCTATGTTCCATTCCCTTTAATGATTAGTTCAATTTGTATTAAAAAACACACACATCAGAAACAGAATCCATTTATGCATTTTAAACAGTGGAAAAGAATTGTTATACTTGCA